CAAAGAAGGCCCAAGACGATTGAACAGTTAGAGGCCTGTATTAGACACGAATGGGAGAGCATTCCTATTTCTAAACTTGAGAAACTGGTCTCCTCTGTCCCCAGACGTCTGTTGAGTGTTGTAAGAAGAAGGGGGGATGCCACACAGTGGTATAAATGGACTTGTCCCAACTTTTTTGGGATTTGTTGACGCCATGAAATTTGGAAACAACAGATTTTTCCCTTAAAATGATACATTCTCTCCGTTTAAACTTTTGATCTGTGATTTGTGTTCTATTCTGAATAAAATATTAGATGTTGGCACCCCCACATCATTGCATTCAGTTTTTATTCACAATTTGTTTAGTGTCCCAACTTTTTTGGAATTCGGTTTGTATGTGAAAAAATCCATAAATATGTCGCTTCGGCCTATAAGTCGCAGGGCATGCGAGTTATGCAAAAAAAAAAAAAAAGCAACTTATACAGCAAAAAATACAGTATGCACTCACACAACAACAAGCGGTGACTGTGATTTGGATGGTGTTCCTCCCTGGTTGGCAGACGTGCTTCAGGTGCAGAGGTTTGTGGGAGGTTTTGTTGTCACCCCTCTCGATGGTAAGGGGCGTGGCGTTGACACTGACTTGGACCGAGGCGGGCCAGTTTGTGTTCATCTGCCTGTCTTCATGGTGGTAGCACTTAAACTGCAGTTCAAGGTCTGACCTGGAGGAGGTAAAACACACTTTTATAGATGACTGAGCTTCTCCAGCATTCATCAACTGCTTTTAGTTTTTTATCCTTGTACACTTTTTATAAACTAATAAGTTCTGCATACTTTGTGCTTTTTTTTTAGCCGTTCATAAAGAAAAACATTCAGTTCATTTGGAAGATGAGCGCTTTGGTTTTTGGCATTTTTAGATAGGCTTTTGCTAAGTCTGGCTTTTAGCTTGTGTTTTGCTTCTTATTAGTCACACGGCACTCAATAGTCATGCTGCATTTTAGCAGAAAATGCTGTGTTTATAGTTTCCAGTAGGAATGTGCGATATGGCATAAAATTCATTTCACGATATGTATTGTGAAGGGTGGCGATAACGATATATATCGCGATATGTTTTTGGTATAAAACTTGCTAAAAAAAGCATAGGGTGTCCTTTTGCCATCATATATTTTGAATTAAGAAAATTCCACTACTAGGTCCAGAGAGTTTTTAAATAATAAACAAATCAAGTATTAGGCTTCTTTCTTGTAGTGCAAAACAGTGCAAAAGATATCAAATGTAGTTTTAGCCATATGTTTTAAACTAAAAAATATGTTGTTAACTCTTAACAGTTTCCAGTCTCACTTAATAAATGAACAGCAACAGAGCAGCATTTTACACTGAAAACACTTCACCCTCCAACCCTCTAGTTGGCGACTCCTTCTGCTTTAATGGAGAGCTGACACAAAATAAGTCTGTGGCTTTGACCAGAGGGTCTTGCAGTAAAAATCACACAACACAGCGTTCTTTTCACAGATCAGAGAGCAGGTTTCTCTAAAGCTGATCAACGCTTACTTTAACTTTCGATGGAAAAAATAAAAAAAAACTTTCGACGGAACACAGCGTTTTGCGCATGCGTCAGAATACGGCAACTCTATGGCAAGCCGGCTGTAGTTAACTTGTAGCTTTGCTACTTAGCTCTCGAAGAAAAGACTTTAACGCCACTTGCGCAGTTTTCAGCTAAAAAAAAGTAACGATTAAATCTGACAGCTCTGATTTTACTTCAGACACAGCATTACTGCGGTTAGCCGGTAGAAGACAGATCTCTATCGTAGGCTAAATTTCTATCGTTTCTACCGTATACCGTTTATATCGCGCATTCCTAGATTCCAGATGCTTTTTTTGTTTTTCTCTTTCAGTGCTGAGCAAAAGTGGTGAATCTACCTCCACATGAGGGTCTGGTGGACAGACGGTCGCAGGTGGAAAACGTGGTTACTGACAGCCAGGTTGTGCTCCAGGCGGAATGGTTCCAGCACCACTCCGTCCCTAACTGGGAAGGTCAGACGCAGCTCCTCATTGGGGTTACCTGGAGAAGATAAATTACAGCATTTAAACCAGAACAGGTAAAGTCATAAAATAAAACCCAAGGACAAACAAATGTGTCATATGAACATGACCAATTTTTTTTTAAGAGCTGCTCATCGACTCACTTGGAGGGGGCGGAAGTGCTGTCATATTTGGTTTCATGTCAGGCGGAAATGGCGGCTTCACATCCTGGTTTGGCGACATGTATGAAGGAATACTACTTCCAGGGGTCATAGGAGGTGTGGGGTTTCCAGGGACTGGGGAGTGGGGATAGTTACCAGGCCTTGGGGGCTGTTAAAAGCAGTAAAATTGCAACAATGAAAACATCAGCAGAATTACAATACACAAACACGACTAGTTAAAACTGAACATTTGCCTCTGGGGACAGGAAGTGCATACGTACCCCGCTGCCTTGGCTGTAGGAGTATCCACCTCCAGGAAAGTTGGTGTTCTGACCATTAAATGGCTCTTGCTGTGGGTGAATACAAAGAGCTATGAGTATTTGGTATTATTAACATTATTTTTCTTGTGTTCTCAGGCACATATCAAATGGTGTAGTACATTTTATAGTTACACAGTGTGGCACACAGACCTTGTAGTACTGGCCCATGGGCATACCAGGAGGGTACTGTCCTTGGCCCTGCTGCACTGGCATCCTCTGGCTGGGATAGTTAGGGGAGGGCAGTGGTCTGGAGACATTTGATGTGGGGTACTGCCCAGGCTGAGGCTGGAACTGGCTGTTTGGCCCATACTGTTGACCCCCATAGCCCCCCTTAATAAAATAAAAATCACAAAAATTACATACAAATACATAAAAAAAGGAAACAAAAACAGAAATTTCAGATCATTTCAAGTATTTGGTTTTCCCACTGACCTCCCCAGGATACGGCCTCTTTATCCCCTGCATGGGAATGCCCTGTCGAGGCCCCCCAGGATACCCTTGGTGTGGCATCCTTTGGCTGTGAGCTCCAAAAGGTGCCATGCCTGGGGTTCGAGCTTGGCTCATACCCATTGGGGGCCCGCTCATATTGGGGTTGCTCATGGCTGATCCCATGCTGGCTGGATTCATACCTCCCGGGGGGCCTCGTGGGCCTGACTGGCTCATAAACTGGCTGTTGTAGGCTGGAGTGGGACCCATTTGGAACGATGGACACATCTGAGAAAAACAAAAGGTTTAGGTGTTCAATAAAAATGTATGTATGCCAGGTGGTTACAACTCTATTAGTAGTGTGGGCTGTACCTGTCCGTACTGGTTCATATCTTTATTCTGTGTTTCCTGCAGAGCTGCCACTGTGGCTGTTGCTGTGGCCGTCGCCGTAGCTGCAGCAGCAGCAACGGCTGCAGCTGCAGCAGCAGCAGCTGGAGGAGTGAAGTCACCAGAAGGACGTGTGTGGGTGGTCATTCCCATGCCTCCAGGTGGAGTGTTTGGGCCCCCAGAATAACTAAAAGATAACAAAATGTAGGTTTCACTGTATGAACATGTTTTTGCCCCTGTGCAAGAACAGTGACATGGCTACTTAGTAGATCTCCTTATAGCCCGAACCTTATAGATTTAACAAATAAAAATAAAAAGAAAACTTGGAAATAGGAGTAATTTGCCTTCAGGGCTTTTGGTCATAAAGTTATATAGCAGAAAAGTGTTTGGAATAGGGATGCACAATATTATTGGCATGGTATCGGTCTCAGCCAATATTAGCCTTAAAGTTCAATATCAGGCATTGTTCCATCAAAATAACTCACCGATATAAAAGGTGCTGTTTTTGTATAACAACCTAGTGACAAGGATGCCTGCAGCGCCAGCACAACGTGATGACGTCACGCACGCCTACCTGATCTGATCACGGTGGAGAGGAAGAAGTCAAAATGTTGGCAGAGTGGAAGTTGTTTTTTTTTGTTGAGGTGTCGAATTCCAAAGATTTTTGGACCAAGTTGAGCCTCGCTACATTGACCCCAGTCAGCCTTACCCGAGTTACAAGCCGTCATTTCCAATGTCATTGAGAAGCTAATAGCCGATAGCACTTGGGTGAGTTTTACCACAGACATGTGGACGTCGCGTTAGCCCCGTTAGCAGGTGACTAATGCTAATAAATAACATTTAATACTTTTCATTTAATAACAGTTAAAGTGCTTTGTATATCATATGGCTGTTACTGAATATATGTCACCAGCTCTTACAGCTGTTACACAATTTTTGTAGCAAATAAGCCTAAATAAGAGGGCTATGTTCTGACAAAGGAAAGTATATAAAAATATCGGTATCGGTTATCGTCCTAATAAGTTTTAAAATATCGTCATATGGGATATCGGCCAAAAATCCAATATCATGCATCTCTAGTTTGGAAGTCAGGTGAGCAGAAAAAAAACAACCAAAAAAAAAAACAAGACAAGATCAGAAATGGAAAGTATCCACAAGACCTTCACTCAAAAGACCACAATTTTTATTCTGTGTAATAATGAACATTCTTACTTAACATTTTATTTTTAATTTTTAGCTACAGCCTAATAAGGTTTAAGCAAGAGCCTCACTGGAATTTTTATTTTTTTAAGTTAGTGGTTTCAGTTTAAATAGACCAATTCACAGAGTTCAGCACATGTTCGAAGGCCTTTCTGTCGTCTGGCAGAAGGTCCTGAAGGCAAATCCATTCCATGAGGTGTAAACACACATGCATACTTGCAGGTCGTAAGTAAAAAGCAATGCACCTCAAAGTGGTTTTAAATGTGAAGTGTCTGTTACAGTAAACATTCCTTTTCTAACTTTTGCCTTTGCAGTCTTGCTGTTATGCTATAATTTATTTCAGTCCTAGTAGGAACAGCATAATTGGCCTCTGACACATCCATTCAATCTAAATTACTCGATTTAGTCTCTTACCTTCCGCTGTATCCTCCAGGGCCGCCGGGGTATCCTGGCCTGCCGTACATGCCCTGCTGCATGTACGACTGGTTAGAACCTCCTTTATTTGGAAACTGCTGCTGCTGAGCGTTGAACTGAGGGGAACTGAGCCCTGCTGCACTGGCAGACATAGCCGATCCCATCGGGTTTCCCCCAGGATTCATGTGGTTATTGTTGTTCGCCATGGGGTTACACAACACCTACAAAGACATAAAAACCAAACGTTACAAAGGTGGGGAAAAAAGACCAGCATGAGTGCTTTTAATGAATGTACGTACCTGACTCTGTGACGTATTGGTCACGCCCCACACTGTTGTAACAACAGACAATGACCCGGGGGGCTGGTTGGTGTTCTGTTGCCAGGGGACCGAGTCGTAAGGAAAGGATCCATCACTGCAAACAAGATCAAAACACATGTTTGCCTGATGTCACGTTAAGTTGTGGACGACTTCTTCTTGTCTGTGATTTTCAATTTTAAATGAGCCACATTATCAGCTTATGGTTGAAGAGAGAAAACTATGATCAATCTTCAGCTGTTGAAAAGTGTATGAATCGGAGTAGATTGCAGAAGGTTTTTTTAGCACTTCAACCTAAAACAAATAGCAGAATAAAATATGAGACTGAAACATAAAACAAACAAGATGAAATCTGGGGAGACCCAAATGGTCAGTGGAGAGGCAGAGAAGTGCTGTTTTTGGAGAGCAGCTTGTTTTCACTCAGTGGTTAGGTATTGGAATGGACGACGTGTTCAATATTTCCTCATAAAGTCACAACATTTACCCCACAAGATCCTCAGCTGAGGCAAACAGAGCTCTCAGCTAATTCCAGGATTTTTTTATTTTTGTGGTGGGGAAGAAAAGCATGAGCACACAATGTTCCCCAAAACCATGACTTCATGTCTCTGCTGCTTTGTCTCTCCAACTCAAATTACTTCTCAAAATAAAAAGTCTATGAAAAATCTATAACATTCAAGGATTCAAGGATTTTTTATTGTCATACCAGCTCACATTTGCATGTTTATGGTATGAAATTCAGACTCAGGTCCCAGACCAAGAAGCTTAACAATTAACACATAAATAAATAAAATAAAATACAAAAGAGTATATATATAGTAGTCCCTCACTACTTTGCGGTTCGTTTATCATGGTTTTTCAAAATAAGATTGGACATGGCATACAATTGGCTAATTGATGGATGAGCTGCACGACCGGCATGAAATTGTTATTTAAAATTAATTATTTAAAATTATTTAGCACATGCTGCCCATTTTGTGCAGCCCAAAGCTGCAGAAAAAGCTTCCTCCTGCACCTTTGTGCAGCACATACTGCAGGATAAGCTTCCTGCTGCAGCTGAACAGGTGATCTCCATGCAGAATGGAGATGTGGGCGTGGCCAAGAATGCTTGATGGTGGCTGAGAGCAGCGGAGGCAGAGAGCTGAAATCATGACATTCTGTGCTCTGAGCATTTAGAAACATTGTTTAGAATATTGCAAGAGCGAGGGAAGGGTTTAAAACACCTTAATATATATAAAGTATATATATAAATACTAAATAAACTACTACTTGTACTATTCCTACTTAATGAATTTTCACTTATCGCAAGGCTTCAGGGTACAGATCCCCCGTATATATATATAAATAAACACAGGCATTAAAGCTATACAATTTTAATAAAAACATAATATAAGCCTAATTTCTACAGACGTAATTACTTCTTGGAGGATATTAAACAGATGTTTGTTGTCCTTCTTTTTTATTGTGTGCTTTGTCGACCTGACAGGACACGTCTCACAGATGTGACTGACCTGTGTGTGAGGCCGGGCTTCATGCTGTTCATGCTGGGCTGCATGGGGACTTTCGCCTGTGGTTCGTTCTGCCTGTTCTTCTGGTGACGCAGCAGGAGGAGACGGCCCAGCTCCTCGCACCACGACGACAGCAGAGCTACCAGGAAAACACAATGACACGCACACGAGTTAGCCCCCTCCGAGTTATTACTACCTGTCCAGGTTCCATAAAGTGCACGCTTACGTAAATGATCACACAACTTATAAACCATTTGTTTAAACATAAGTCTCAAAGGCTGTATTTACCCTGTCAGGATTCTGTGCTAAATTGTGTGCTTGTTTTAAAAACCTGCAGAGGGCAGCAGGAAGCAAGAACAACGATGCTGATCATCGTTTATGTGTATTTTCTAACAGTTATTCATCCCGTCATATCTACCTGCAGTGTGAAATCAATCTGCGGTAGCTCCCAGTTCTCCTGCCACCGAGAGGCAGAATTGTAGCGTGAGAGTCAGACAGACACAAAACAACTGGTGTGACCGATAAGATCAATGTAGGAAGTAAGAAACTGATATCTCCTCTGTCCTCTACTTCCTCTGTTCAGCATCACCACTTCACTCTCAACCACGTCTACTCATATCACCCAGGTGTAATCGCACTCTGCAGTGTTCATGAAAAAAACGTGGGGGAGGTTTTTTGTTTTTTTTTGCTCTCTTGCCAATAATGTGACAATGACTTGATTTTATTCAAATGCCAATGAACTTGTTTTGATGAAACATTCTTCTTTCTGGGAAAGAATAGGAAAAATTGTAAGATCTTAATTGTTATCATTCAAGGCTATTTCTACTTAACTAAATAAACATATTTATATTTAACTGGATTTGGTATGAGTTTGGGCACCCAACAGGAAAATGTCCCATCTGTGATATGTACAATAAAAATACCTCCCCCCAAATAAATATCCTCTTATTTGACCAGTGGCCACTTATTCAGAATACATAAAGGACAGGAGTGCGGTCTGGAAAAGAATTGAGAACAAGCGAAGAGCAAAAATAGATGTTTTCTTCTGGGGGGCGGAGAGGGCCAAGCCTCCTAGTTAAAGTGGAATTATTCCACCCTTCCATTACATAGAGCTTATCTCCCCACTAAATCACCACCTCCACACAGAGGGATTGTCTCCACAACAGGCAACCCACCATTTAGACCTAAAACCCAGTTGCGTTGAGGACAAGATACAGGGACAGAGAACAAAAGAGATTCAGTGGCATCAAGGTCTGAAATCAATCATGAGTTTGCTCTGAGCATTGCTTATTAAAGTGAACAAAATCTTTTTCTCACCACCAAGTCCTTTGTGTTAAAACCTTTACCAGGATCATCAAACATCCACAACTACATTAAAATTCGCCTCTCTCTATAGAGTATGAAGGCTCCTTTAACATACACAAGGCCAAATGTCTCTCCTTTTCTTTCATTTTCTAAGTAACACCCGTCTAAAGTTACCGTTCTGAAATCGTCTTCACTAAGTGGTTTGTTAATGTCATTAGCTGAAAAGACGAGGAGCCGATGCCGAGGGCCCAGACAATCAGCCAACAAAAGCACAAGAACACAAAGTCGAGGTCTCAGTCTAATTACACCTCTCTTTCATCTTTTCATTTATTCACATTTCGTTTACACTAAGGCCTTACAGTTCAATTAAACACTTTATAATGAAGGCGCCAACAGCAACCTGATGGAGACGAGCCAAAGTCAACCACTCACAGGTGTTTAGTTCACGCCTGTTTTACCTCCATGCAGTCTTTTCATCCGAAGTGTTCGCTGTTATGTAAAACTATGCAAATTTATGCAACCAAACTTATTCTGTAACTTTGATCTACATCATAAAACAGCAAGAGCGTTCAAGATGATTCAACTGCAGCAGACAAGATCGATGACATGGCTACATTTTTTAAAAATATGTTTTTTTCAGGGATAAGAGGGCCAGATCAATAAGACAAAATAAGTTCTGCCAAATATAAAATTTATAATGAGCTACCAATATGATTTTTAAAATCTAAACTAGTCATATTGAGAATTTAAACTATATAAACAGGTGTGGTCATAAAATTAGAATATCATGAAAAAGTTGATTTATTTTAGTAATTCCGTTCAGAATGTGAAACTTTTATATTATATTCAATCATTACACACAGACAGATGTATTTCAAATGTTTATTCCTTTTAATGTTGATTATGATAAATGACAACTAATGAAAACCCCAAATTCAGTATCTCAGAAAATTTGAACATTGTGAAAAGGTTCAATATTGAAGACACTTGGTGCCACACTCTAATCAGCTAATTAACTCAAAACACCTGCAAAGGCCTTTAAATGGTCTCAGTCTAGTTCTGTAGGCTACACAATCATGGGGAAGACTGTTGACTTGATAGTTGTCAAAAAATGGCCACTGGCACCTTGCACAAGGACGGCAAGACACAAAAGGTCATTGCTAAAGAGGCTGGCTGTTCACAGAGCTCTGTGTCCAAGCACATTAATAGAGATGAAGAGAAGGAAAGAATGTTGTAGGGAAAAAAAAGTGTCCAAGCAATAAGGATAACTGCACCCTGGAGAGGACTGTGAAACAAAACCCATTCCAAAATGTGGGGGAGATTCACAAAGAGAGGACTGCAGCTGAAGTCAGTGCTTCAAGAACCACCATGCTCAGACGTATGCAAGACATGGGTTTCAGCTGTCACATTCCTTATGTCAAGCCACTCTTGAACAAGAGACAGTGTCAGAAGTATCTCGCCTGGGACTGCTGCTGAGTGGTCCAACGTTATGTTCTCTGATGAAAGTAAAATTTGCATTTCCTTTGGAAATCAAGGTCCCAGAGTCAGAAGGAAGAGAAGAGAGGCACAGAATCCACGTTGCTTGAGGTTCAGTATCAAGTTTCCACAGTCAGTGATGGTTTGGAGTGCCATGTCATCTGCTGGTGTTGGTCCACTGTATTTCCTGAGGTCCAAAGTTAACACAGCCGTCTATCAGGAAGTTTAGAGCACATCATGCTTCCTGCTGCTGACCAACTTTATGGAGATGCAGATTTCATTTTCCAACAGGACTTGGCACCTGCACACAGTGCCAAAGATACCAGTATCTGGTTTATGGACCATGGCATCCCTGTTCTTAATTGGCCAGCAAACTCACCTTAACCCCACAGAAGATCTATGGGGCAATGTGAAGAGGAAGATGCGATACGTCAGACCCAACAATTCAGAAGAGCTGAAGGCCACTATCAGAGCAACCTGGGCTCTCATAACACCTGAGCAGTGCCACAGACTGATCGACTCCATGCCACGCTGCATTGCTGCAGTAATCGAGGCAAAAGGAACAACAACTAAGTATTGAGTGATGCACATGTTCATATACTTTTCATGTTCATATTTTCAGTTGGTCAACATTTCTAAAAATGTATTTTTTATTGGTCTTAAGTAATATTCTAATTTTCTGAGATACTGAATTTGAGGTTTTCATTAGTTGTCAATTATAATCATCAACATTAAAAGAAATAAACATTTGAATTATATCAGTCTGTGTGTAATGAATGAATATAATATACAAGTTTCACTTTATGAATGGAATTACTGAAATAAATCAACTTTTTCATGATATTCTAATGTTATGACTAGCCCCTGTGTATATATAACAACAGTATGTTCTCCACGAACTAAGCACACTGCTTTGCAGCTGACATCAGTAAATAAACTCCATAAAGTCAATTTCTCGTAAAAAAATTCTCTGCACTCTAGAACAGTCTTTGTTATGTTTTCTACTGTGTGCTGACCTGACGGTAACTCACTCATACCCTCTGCTTACCAGAGGGAAGACTGACGCTGTGGCGCACAAAGGTGGCTGCAGACAAAAACACCCACTCTCCTTCAAAATTGCAAATATTAAAAAAAAATAAATGCAGAAATTTAGGATATGCATGCAGAATAGTTTATAACTGATTTCTGATTTTTCATTGCCATTAAGATTAATGGGCCAGATGTGGCCTGCGGGCCATTTGATGTCCGTGTGTAGTTTTGAATTCTCATCCTTAAGGCAACAATAAAAAATACAAATAGGCATCAAAATGATTTTTTTAAAGAAAACAAGCAGTGGTTAAAAAAAAAAAAAAAAACCTCAACACTAAACCAAAGAACTAATCTTTTGAATACCTGACTAAAAATAGTTATTTTTCTAACAGATTACAGTCACATATAATCCTCTGCAGATTATCTAAAAGTTGCTGTTTTGTTTGAAGATGCTTTCAGTGGATTCTCTGACTGAACATCTCTTCAACAAGTGATGTGCACCGCAGTCCTGCACTGCAGTGCCATCACGACATATTCTCAGGAAGTCCCCCTTCATGCATTTTGAACCACTTCGGCCAGGATTGCTTCAAACTAGTTTCAGCAAAGAAGAACCTGTCCAGAGGTCCTGACTCAACCTTGTTAGTTGTAATTAAGTAATTCCTCATGATGACATACAGGACGGGTCCTCCATGCTCGAGCTGTATTTAATGCTGTGTGGCTGACTGACAGCAGGCGCTCTGGCACATTCTTACCTCACCTCAGCCCCTCTGGGAAGTACGGAGAGGGAGAAAGTAAGCCTTGGTGTCACAGACTGCAGAGCTTATTAACTAATGACAGTTAGCACAAGTCCCTTTTTTAACAAGAAAACCCAAATACTAATTATAATGAACTCTGTGTGTGTCATTGTGTTGTAAAAGATTTTTGCTGCTGAGCAAATCATTTGCCAGAGTAATTATGACCGTCTGAGTACACTTGAAAATGTGCGCATGCTTACATAAATCAGTGTAGCTGCATTCTTATTAAACATCTAACAGGCTTTAATGTGACGCTACACAAACACAAAGTCAGCAGAGTGTTACAGTGTTGGAAGGTAAGTGTGAAGATTTGTTCAAGAGTTGGTGATAACCTTTAGAGAGATGGAAAAACACACATGCAAAGGACCTGATTTGATCTTAGCATGTTCCAAATGTCCGTACTATATTTCAAAATGGCATATTTTCTCATAAAATCAGTCTTTTCCTTATCGCATACTTGAGAAAAACAAGAACGAAAAGCAAACACACTGACAAACAGGCATGTGACTATTTTTATGACTTGTAACTCAGTTTGAATGACAGCTCATAGGCATAAACATATTTTTAGGGCTTGGAAAAAAAAGAAACTACTTTTATGAAAGTATGCATGCACAACTATGCTACACTTATGAGAATATGCATGTCAATAAAGGAAGCAAACATCAACAAAACCAAACTCTTTTATACCAAACTGCAACCGCAAATACACTTTATTAGTTTGGGCAGTTTTCAGAAGAGTAATCTTGAGTGGTATCTTTTTTCTAAATATTTTCTGGAGGGAACATCTATTACCTACATGCATAGTGTACTTATTTCATCTTTAAGATGGCAGGTTAAGCTATGATTCTGCGCTGTTGAGCCAAAATACTGATAAGATATCAGACACATGTCTCTGATAGGGTATCACAACACAGCTGAGAGACTTAGTTTCTCATCACTGCAGGGTCTTAGAAGAAATAGCAAGTACAAATGATGCTGAACAAACACAACATGGTTGTAAAACATAATGTAGAAAGCAATAAAGAGCCATTTTATAGCAATTCACTTCTATGCTATGTTCCCTAGATGCTAACAATGACAAGGATCCACAGTTATGCCTAGTAAAGTTTGCAAAAAAGCTTAAATGTGCTAATTGTTGATTATTCAATTATTCTAATAATCAAGTGGAATGGAAATCCCTGCTATATTATTTTAAATCCTCATTTCAAGTCTGACACAGCTGTCATTCTTCACTGCAGGTTGATTCAGACATTTTCATAATCACACAAACAAAGAACTACATAAAAAAAAATTACAAGTTCTGAGCATGAACACTGCAGCACCAGACAAAGAAGCCTTCTGAGACAATGTGTGGGATGAAAAAGAAGAAATTCATGAGAGATATTATGAAGCAGGGGTCTGTACAACACTGGCAGGTAGGCCTGTGCTGTGTGGGCACAAAATATTATGCAGAGGGACGATATGAAAGGAGTTTAAAGATCCTTTGAAATTAAAATAATAAATTCATGCTTTTTTTTTTTTTTTTTGCCGAAGTGTAATGGAAGCCATTTAAGCAGTCAATGAGATCCTCCCCCCCTTTCTGCCCCTTCTCTCTCTGTGTGTGTGAAGCCAACCTCTGCTCAGAGAGGAGCATATCAAATGGGCTTTAGTCTCAACAGCTCGGAGGCAGAGCTACTCAAACATGCCCCGCAGAGAGAAAAGCTCTGTCAGAAATCACACTGCCATACCCAGCTCGTCCAAATCAGAATCTTCCAAATCTGAAAGCTCTCACTAAAAATAAAGTTCTGTTTGGAGTTGCATTTTATTTGATGGACGTTTAATTTTTCCAAACATTTCATTTTGCACCAGAAAAAGCAGAGCTCTTTTAACTAGGGATGCACGATATTGGATTTTTGGCCGATATCCAATATGCCGATATTTTAAAACTTATTTGGCCGATAACCGATGCCGATACCGATATTGTATATACGTTCCTTTGTCAGAACATAGAACCTCTTATTTAGGCTTATTTGCTACAAACATTGTGCAACAGCTGTAA